TAGTTTAGGGGTAGATTTGGGCATTCTGCCTTGTTTTCTGTAGGGGTATTTGTGTCACCATCTTTCTCCACACCCTCCCATCCAAAAATGGCCAGAGAGAGGAAAAGGGTTTCAATGTGAATAATTTGGTTTGCTTTAGTCACTGTTATGTACCTTTGCACTTTTGTCGAACAGTAACATCCTCTATACTGTTGATACTTGCATTGTCACTTGTCAGTCCACTTGTATTGAGTCAATGCCAAGTTGCAACCTACTTGATTTGAATTTCCTTTTAATGATTCATAGGTACGTATGGTGACCGGTGACAATCTCAAAACTGCTAAGGCAATTGCTTTAGAATGTGGAATACTAGAATCAGATGCAGATACCTCTGAGCCTAATCTAATTGAAGGGAAAGTGTTCCGTGCCCTAACAGAAGCACAGAGAGAGGAATTTGCTGAGAAAATATCTGTATGCTCTGGTTCTCCATTCTTTTCATCTGTATGTCCAATAGAAATCAGAATAGCAATTATGGTGGAGAAATTTACCTGTTGTTATTATTTTAGGTGATGGGGCGATCATCTCCTAATGATAAACTTTTGCTTGTACAAGCATTGAGAAAGAAGGGACATGTTGTTGCTGTAACTGGAGATGGCACTAATGATGCACCTGCTCTACATGAGGTTTGAAAATGTCTATTTTTATGTTGGGAAAATTATTAATATGTGAAATCAATTTCATTTCCATGTAGTAGCTGCTCATATTTCAGTGAAGCAAACATGTCCTTGGGTACACTCCTAATCTTGTGTTATTCTTGTATGACCAACTAGATTTTAGATTCATTTGTACCCTCTTAATTTTATTAAGTATTAATTACAGAGTCAAGTTGAGCTAACTACACTTCTTTGTCAGGCACAAAAAACTGTTTTTTCTTGCATCCTACCACGTCCATTTTTATCCACTTGTCTTTTGCACTTCCAAAATGATGTTACACAAAAGACCAAATATATTATTGCTGTTGGGGTTTCTATGTTTATAATTATACCTACCATTTTTTTCTCCTATGGTATTTAATTGTTATGTTCTAATATATTTTTGACTTCTGAGAAAATTTGTTCTAGATAGGTTCTGTTTAACAGGTAGAAGAATATAATTTTTCGGCATTGGAGCATTAATTGTTGCCTGGGGGCTCCTTAAATAGTTTGATTTATTAAATGCTATCTGCTAGAGTTGTTGTGGCTTGTGTAAAGTTAGTTGTTAGCTAGAATTTCTAGTTATTATTAATTAAAGCCTGATTACACTCTGATTGTGGACATGTTGAAACAATGCCATGTTGGAATTAGGCTGACATTGGCCTTTCAATGGGTATTTCTGGGACGGAAGTTGCTAAAGAGAGTTCAGACATTATTATCTTAGATGACAACTTTTCTTCAGTTGTTAAGGTATTACTTTTCTTCCTAT